ATTATTTTAAATTTCTGGTTCTGTGAATTTCATAGTCCTCAGCAGTAATAAAGAATGGGAAATGTTCTGGAAGCTAATGATAGGCCAAGTTAAGTTTAATAACAGCGAAGAAATGTGATGATGTCACCTTCTGCTGCAGTTTTTTTTTTTTTTTATTGCTATCAGCCCAGCAAGGTTTGAGTGAGGCAGCATTTGAAGAGGTGATCCTTAAGAGTTCCCTGGAGCATATCTGGCAGGAAATGGAGATGTACACGAGGCTCATAGTCAGATGACTCACAGTGGAACCCTGAAGTCTAATATATTTATTATCTGCTTCTAACCAGAAAGAAACATCCAGCACTGAAATGTGGATGGCACGTTAATTCCAAGTTCTTTGTCTTAGAAAGAGCTGGATGGTTGTAGCCACTGCCTGATAAATGAGGCTTGTACAAGGTCCTGAATATTTCAGATCATCACTCGTCTTACTGTGTCTTTTGGAGGAGCTGAAGATTTTATCAGCCCCTATTTTTTTACACTTTGGAGTTATGGTTGGTAAATCCTACCTGAATTTCCGTGTGCTTAAATGCAGGATTCCTTGCTTACTGTCATATATGGTAAGGTGCATCGTTAGCCTTATAATTTTTAACCTGTAGTAAGATGTGTTATCATAAATAATGCTTTGCTCTCACACAGTGCGTTTTGTTCTTATACCTCAAATACCTTGTACCTTATACCTGCACTTTAATCATGGATGTGACAACTCCTTTATGCAGTACTTATATCTTAAAGCACTTTTAAATAATATGCTCCCTCCAGTGACACTCCCCAGACCTTCACTGAAGAATTCCCTGAAAACAGCAATAGCTTCAAAAAAGGGAAACGGTTTTATCATTATTCACTATGGCTTAGTTTGTATAGTAGTAGCAGTTGTAACTGTGACCTGGAAAGGATAAAACCAAGTGTGCAGTCTGGCTAGTAAAATCTGGAAGATATTTATGGCTTATGGTTGCCTTTACTCACATAAAAAGACAGATTAATTCTGTACTGCTGATGTTGGCAGACTGTAGAACCATACTGTGCTTTGAGATTCTTTTCTGTCCTATCAGTAAGCCTGAAGCTGAGACCCACTTACGTCCTTGGCATTGAGCTGATCAGCAGCTTTGGGATCAGAGGCTAATTTTCCTGCATGGCAGATGGGAAGGTGTAGTTGTTGGTGGTTGAGCCTTTCCTCACTGGAGATGTTTCTGATAGTTGTCAAATATTGCTTCTGAAGAAAGAAGACAGTGGCAACATCTTCTGTCCCTCTACTGTTTTTCTTTCTTGTGATACGTTGTGGTTGTGGGTCTGTCTTTGTTAGCAGTTACATTATGAGAATGTGCTGGGCAGCTTTTGAGGTCTGTGCTGGAGTGATGTACAATCAGTCTTACACGAGCAGTTAAACCATTCTATGGTTTTTGACTACAGGCTGTACTCAGTGACTCAAAGATTCCTTCCCACCCTGATATTCTCATGCTGCAGAAATACAAAAAGCTCCTGAAATTTATGAACATAAGCGTTATGCTCCAGACCCTTCATAGCTCTGTTGCCCTTCTCTGGACATGCTCCAGGGCCCCAGTTTCTTCTAGTGAGAGGCCAAAAACTGAACACAGTAGTTGAGGCGTGGCCTCACTGGTGCTAAGTACAAAGAGAAAGCTGCGCTAATTTGCAGAATTACCAGAATTCAAATACCAGTCTTTTTAACATGGCTTTTTTTTTTCTTTTTTTCTTTTTTTTTCTTTCTTTCTTTTTTCTTTTTTTTTTTCCAGTTTGTGAATTATGCACTTGTCACTGTTCAATATTTAATTTATAAGTCATCTGTGTGTTTTGTTTCAGTTTTATTTGTAATGTGGCCAAGTTGGTGATTTAAGTTGGCCAAGGGGTGATTAGAACCAGGTGTCAAAATTCATCCAGTGGAGACCCAAAGTTGCTGCTTTCCAGCAGCTGTTTCATACATGATCTGTGTTTCTGGCTGTCCATATCCTGGCAAGTGAAGTGACTCTGTCAAGATCCATCACCCTGGCAGTGATTTACATTTGCTGGGCATTTCAGCAAAGCAACTGCTGATGGTATAGAGATGGAGTAGGGACTGTCTGTAGCGATGCAGCCATAGAAAGAGTTGAACTTTGCTGAGAAGGCAGCCTAGGGTGTCTAGCACTGTGACAGCCTAGTTATATGGACAGACCACTTGAGTCTGAGTCTTGTCAAGGTGTCACATTTCATCAGCAATAAATCTGCTTGTTAAAGAAATGAAGAGTAATAAAACATTTCTATTAGTCATGAAACATATTTGTCTCATGAGAAGTTGAGGGAAAAAAAGGCTTGATTTAAATATTTTTAAAATTAAGTAGTTTTTGAAGCATCTTTAAGACATGAAGTTATTTTATGATTTAAAACAATTGCATAACTCATGTTGTATATTACACCAGTGGTGCAGTGTTGCTCAGAAGACAAAAAAAATATTCTTACTTTTGTGATTTTAAGTTAGCTTGGTATTGCATGTTAACTGTGTTTTGTCCAATTTCTCATTCAACTGTCTTAGCACTGCCATCTTCTTACTTTTTCAACCAGCACTTTTACAGCCAGTTAATTTTTGCCCTGCAGCCCCTCCTCCTGAGTATGCTCACCAATCCCATTTGGGTTTACAGGGTTAGTGTGCTAAGCAATAAGTGTACACTAAAGTGAGCCCTATTCTGAAGAACCTTTCTCCGTATCTACTTCTATGGCTTCTAAGTCTCCCAGCATTGTGGCTTACTGTACAGAGTTATTTTACTCTGATCTCATCTACTTGTTATGACAGCTGGTTTTGTTGATCTGTAGTGCATTCATTTATGCAATAGGTTATACTCTATCAAAGTACTTAAAGTCATTTGCAGGTAGGCTAGGTAAAAAGAATGTGATTAGCTCAAAGCTAAGCACCTACCTAAATGCTTAGCTGGATTGGAGGCTTAGAGAAGAGAGGAAAAGATTGCTTTAACTTTGTTTAATGTGTTTAAAGCTGTTTTATCCTAATATCACCAGGAAGATATCACCACATACTGGTTATGAGTACTCAATGCAGAAGACTTGCCAGACTTTTCTTTTGACTTCACAGTTTACTGGGTCTCCTGGCTTTTCTGAACTATAACCCCAACTACCAGCTCTAAGTTGCATGAGAAAATGTATTTCTGTCTCTTAAGTAGTTTTAAGGTAACCATATCTTAAAATAGAGAATGTAGATGGCAATGAAAAGCTGGTGTCACCAGTTCATTTGATTTCTGCATGTGTGAGGAGACCAGAATAGTTACACAAGTCAGCCCACACAATAACTGTGGCTCTGAGATCCAATCTGTGAATAAGGACAAAAAAAAGATGAACTGAGTAGCACAAGGGCCACATTCTTTTCTTGTATTAAATCGAGCAGAGCCAGCACTAGAACTACAGGGGAAAAAAGATAACTGTATCCCACTGAAAATGAAGTCTGAAAAAAAGACACAGATGTATTTTTCCAGTTCGTTATCCTACTTGATGGTGTTTGACTTCTTCCATTCCTCAAAGCAGAGCGCCCTGGTCCCCACAGGCACTAGGAGATTTACTAGACTAAAAGTTTAACTTCTGATCACTGTAGGACTACCCTTAATCCAGTGGTACAAGAATACCTGTTATTGCAGTTCTTGCTTTTCTGTATGAGAAATTAGCTGACTGAATTTTTGCTATTCCTACTGCTCTGAGACTAGGGCATTAGGTGTCACTGAGACTTCTGAAAGCTGTATAGAAGTCCAGGTGTTTTCAAAGAAAGGAATGTTTGTTGAGTTGTCTTTGCATACTCTTCCTCTTCTGCCATGTCACTTCTGGAGTTGCAACAAACTCCTCGTGGAAGTCACACTGTGCAGTTTCCTGTGTGTTATTTTTCAGATACAGGTCCTTACCATAGTTTTCCTTCCCCCTTGTCCCTCCCTACATGAGCTTTTGGCATCATTATATCAAGGATGGCACTTCAGTAAATGCTTAACCTGATTGCACTGCCTAGACTTGAAAACAGAAATGGGCTTTGACACTCTTGAAAAAGTGAACTGAGGCAAATGTTTAATGCTTTTTATGATGCAAACCAAAAAACTGCTTTCTCAGTAATGTATATATATATTTTTACTATATAAGTTATAATAGTGAGAAAGAGGGAAAAGGGTGGTTAATTGCTATCTACTAGTACTGTTGCTGAGTGCAGCCTATACATAGGACAATACAGAGTCTCGGGCTCTTGCCTTCCCTCTTCTTTCTAATGGTCTTGGGACTAACAGTTGTGGCAGTGAGTAGACCTGGGCTCTCTTCACAGCTCTTCCCTGCCTTGTTGTGATTCTTTGTTCACTGTGCTTCTCTTTGTCTCTTTTTCCTTCTGTGTCTGTCTAAGTTACCAAAGCTGAAAGGGTGGAAACTGGCTCCTGCTCAGTGTTTGATCTTGCTTACCAAACTGGTGGGACTTGCTGCATTCTGACAGGCCAACGTGTTCTTACAATACAAATAAATATTAAGAAATCTCTGATTTGCCCCTCTGTTTTCTGTGGCTTTGGACTCTCAGTGTATCTGATGCTGACTGACCACTCCACCATCAATCCCACAGTCTGAGTGGTCTGTGGGAATCTCAGGTTCTCTGTGTTTGGCATTGATATCTTCAGCTATAGTTTAGGTGCCAGGGTGTCAGGTCCATCCTGTGTTGAAAATTCTCAGAAGTGCCACAAAGCAAAACTTCAGACAGAAACATGCAGTTGCAGGGCAGCATTGGAAATAATGGTTCAATGTCCATACAGCATTCATGCAACATGTGTAGTCTTCCTTCTCCCTCTCAAAATGTCAGTCCAGAGTCCTCACCAGTTGTAATGGTATATGAGGATACAAGTGGATTGAAGCATCTGTCTTAACTTGTGCATACTGTGAGATGTGTTCTCAGTTGTGAGGCCATACATAGAATGTTTTCTACCTAATATTAATTTTCTGTTTGTCTTTTGCAGCACTTTTACAGGCAGTCATAGCTGGTGATCTGCTGAAGGTAAGCACAGAGTACTGAGTGTCCATGTTTTCACAGCTACTTGAAGGTTTGATATGCTGTAAATTATATCACACCTCTGCTCAAAACATAAACAGACTGCTGTAGGGACTGTGCTGTCAAATGCCATTTTACAGCCTTTCCAGGAAACTCTGAGTATTAGGGAGCACATCAGTCAGGTGAGGTGTGAAATTTGAGTGAATAGGATATGGTGTTAGGCAGCACCTTTCAGCTCAGGGTCCATAGTGCACTGTATAGAGCACTGTGTCAATTATCAATAGGGAAATCATGTACTGGCAGATGTAGCACTAGGCAACAGTGTAGTTCTGATGCAGTCTTACACAATAAAAGATGTTTTATTGCAGTGATGTTGGTGGCCAAGCAATCAGAGTTGTTAGAGACATTTTAACATCTTCCTAGACAACCACAGACCAGGTAGAATGAAACTCAGTTTGATGCCTTACTGTCTGATAGATGTCTCAAAACCAATAGCATTTTGGTATGGTCAATTTTTGGTACTTTGCTTTGGTAGGAAACGGCATCCATGTAAAAAGCCTTGTTCTCAAAGTCTGAAGTTCTATGACTGAATAATGTCAGAATAAGAACAGGCTGTGTGTTTCAGTAGCCAAATAGGGGTTTGCAAACAAGTCCCTGAATTTGAATGAGGAGTGTGATTAATGATTGCAATATTATCTGCAAAAAGCCATCTTGGAACCATTCATAAAAATGACAGTACTGTTAGGGCAACCCTTGGCCTGCAGATGTACCTTCCATTCCTTCTCCCCTAGTGCAGCAGCTGCAGCATCGAGGGAATGTTCCTCAAGCAAGCAGTCATTAAAATATTGTTCCATTTCTGCTTTTTGAAAGCTTTTTGCCTGAGTTAGCTTTGACAAGGAAACTTGTCCTTTTTCAGTTGTCATACGTCATAAATAATGTCCCACTGTCACCACCTACACCCTCTTTTCTGCAATAATCTGTTTTACAGAAACAGAGTTTACAGAAAATCTAAGAACTGACCAGTGGATGTTCCCTGTCCTTATCTTGGATACTGCTTTCCTCTTGGAGGGCTCTGAATAAAAGGGAGAGTGTGTGGCAGCTCAAATTCATCTCCCTGTGGATTTTTGAGTCAGAGTTTTCTGGTTTAGTCAGAAAGTGTTTACTTTGGGTATGCTTCCTTTACTGATTAAAAAAAGTGAAATTTTCAGGAGATAAGCCAGAATTTTTTTTATCAAATACATATATTTTGAAATTTCCTAACAGCTTCACTGTTAAGTGTTTTTGCAAGCATTTATAGCAAGCAATAATTCACCACCCATAGAGCAGCAATGTCTCATTGTTCAGGAAATATGATCTGCTCTTGTTAACCCATATAATTGTCAATGCTTCTAGTTTAAGATTTTTTTTTTCACTGGGGCCTAAAAGCTGGCTTTAATGTAATATTATGTTTCATTGCATTGCATTGCTGTACTGATCTCCTGCGGAAATTAATACATGATTTGCCTGCATATCTGTTTTTCTTCTTTTCCTACATTATCCTTCTTTATGGGTATGTGTGTGTGTGTGTTTTTTTTTCTAGTTCATAGAATGCTGTAAAAAAGGAGCCAATTTGCTAATCCAAGGACCTGACCATGGCTCCTTGTTGCATCACGCTGCCAAGAGTGGGCATGGCGAGATTGTGAAGTATATCCTGGAACACGGTGAGTCAGTGTGCAAACCTACAGAGAGCTGTACTGCAGCCGAGTGTGTCAGCCAGGTGAAACCACACAGCACAGTATGGCTGGGAGCATTCTCACTCGTGGTCACCCTCGGCCAGATGTCCACTTGAAGCAGGTGTGAGCAGGAGACTAGGAATGTGGCGGCAATGACAGGAATGGCTCCAGATGAAAAGAAACTAAAATAATTATGGGTTTTGAGGAGAATGGGAATTTTCACAGTTTCATCAGTTGTGATGCTGTGAAGACCCAGTGCGATGCTCTAGTTTGCCTTCCGGCATGAGACTGCAAAATTAATTTGTTTTCCTATTAGAGCACGTGTTGTAGAAAGCATCTAATCTGTGTAAAATCATTAACAGAAGTGGAAAGTCCCTCCTACCACTGGTATTATTTCAGTATTTAATAACGCTGGTTAGGGATCTATGCATTTGTTTCTAGACTGGATTTGCTTAGTTTCCTTCACAACCTTCCAATATTTTGTCTCTCTCTTTTTTTTTTTTCCAAGTCCATTTCATAACAAAAATCTATGATATCGATTTAAAATATTTATATTTGTATGCTGTGATCTTGCCATTTCAGTTTTTTCCTTCAGACTCTTTTTGTCAATAACAGGATTGCAGGCATGCTTACATGGGCTGTGTAAGAATTTGCATGTTTACATATGTTTGAGTTAGCAGTATTTAGGAGTTTCTGCCTGTTCAAACTAATGTGATCTTGTTCACTGCTGGAAAATGATATAGACCACAACAGCATGACAACTACTCACAAACACAGAGCCTATCTCTGGCAATTATAACATATTAGCTAATGCCTGAAAGTTGCTACGGAAATTTCACAGAGAGAAGAAAAAAGCACTACACACAGTAAATAAGGAGACAATAACCATCTGTTAACATTTGTTTTAGCTGGGGTGGGATTTAGCTTCAGTTTGGCTCCTAAAGTTTAGGTTTTTATACAGTGTGATATAGTCGATAGGTCTAAGTTCCTAAAGTAGTCAAAGTAGTCACTGAAGCCAAGCATGCAATCCAATTTACAGTTAGTTACCTGTGTGCTTCATTTGTTTATCTAAACATAACTGTCCAACATAATTTGCTCTTGCATATCCGGGACATCTGCATGGGTCCATAGATAACATGCAAGGCCTATAGAAGACTCATATCCTTCCGGACTGCCAGCAGGAGCCCAGACAAACGTCCCTGTAATTCCAAATTCATACCAAGGCTTGCCCTTCAAAATATCATAAAATATCCATATGTGGGCAGCTGAACTGTGCTCCAGTTATTTGGCTAAGGGGAGGGTCTTTTTTGTGTATAGAGATACCTACATCTGATAGATGCATATAGCTGGCCTTATATCCAAATTCTGGCTATATTTCTCAGATGTTGTAGCAAGTCTTACTATATCTACTTCTTATTTGACTTCTCTGGATCATCTCATAGGTTACAGTTCATTTATGTGCCTCTAAATTCCATAGATAGACATAATTTCACTTAATTTTCTTAGTCTTTCTTGTTTCTTCTTCTGGTTCACATGACCTGTGCCACTTCACTCTCATGGATGCCTCTCCAAGACTTTTCTTAGGCACACATACCTTAAATTACAGACTGACCCAGTTACAATTCTTTCAATGAGGGTTTAAAATGAGATCATTTAAGCTGGTGAGGATGTGAGCAGGAAATCCATGGGAATTTTTGAAGTGAATAGAGAAATGTAGGGGATTACGGACAGTTAGACAAAGACAAACCAGAAGGTTGAGCAAATGTCAACTCAGTTCCTCTCTCCCCCCCCCCCGTCCCCCGTCCCCAAGGATGACAGGAAGCTTTTGCAGCTTTCCAGACATATGTCCTCTGGGCTTCTCCAAATGCATTGTTTGTTTAACATTCTCTGAGGATCAGGGAATGCATGGGACAATGCTCTAATAGGGGCCTCCTCTTTTCTCCCACCAAGCAATTAATGAATCTCATTTCTACCCTGGGCACTTCTCAGTCACAAACAAGCTCTCTTGCTGAATCATCATCATAATGTCCTTGTTTTTATGTTGTTTCTCTGGCACCTGGCATCTTCTCAGTAATAATTAGTGTATGAGACCTTATCCAACACTGTTATTATCTGAGGCTTTCCCTGTATCTAGCTTCTCATTTCTGCTAATCAACACCCTTGATAAAAATGGATCTTACTCTTCTTCTGGCCATTACTTTTGTTCACCTCTAATTCCTCCATAGTTTTTCTATCATAGAGTTTATCAAGAACACATGACTAGAGATGGTTAACATTAATAAGAGCTCCACAGCAAAATACTCCCCAGCATACAGCACAGGAAATCCATTATTAATCACAGAGAAAATCTTCTCAATGTAGTTCAAACCATGACCAACAGCAACAAAAAAATGATTGTTAGCTATCTGGTGTGAAGCTACTGGGGTGAATTGAATGTGGTGCAGGGGTGGTAAATCCCTCCCTGCCCCCAGCAAACACACCTCAGGCATAGCACTGGGATTGTGAAGAAGAGGAAATGGTGTGCTGTCTTTTGTGGTGATGGCTTTATGCTTTTTGCAAATATGCAGGGATATTAATAGGAGAGATTACACTGTGATCTTGATCAGAATTATTTCAGATGTTAAGGGGAGGAAAATAACCCTTCTCAAGATAGAAGAAAGCAGAGATGAGTCAAACAAAGAGATTGCTGTGATACTTATCAGTGGACTGGCAAGAGCCTGGAACAGCAGCTGAAGAAGCGATGTAGCAGTAGGTGTTAGAACAGCTGCAGTGTAGTAGGTGTTAGAACAGCTGCTTACTGCTGCAGGAATGGTTGTGTTGGTTGCTGTTCCTTCAAAACAATTTCTCTCCATGTCTTTATGCATGAAGGGCAGATACACAGACCTACAAGTTGTTCAAGAAGCCTTCATAAATCAAGGGTCTTTTTATTGTATTGAAAAGGTCACCTTTTAAGATCTGTTTGTAGCTGGGCTAAGAAACACTTAGCAAGAAACTGAGGGCCAAACTCAGTAGGTATCAGAACCACATCTGTTTTTTTGCTGCAGTTAACTATCTCACGCCCCAATGCTTACACATTAAAAAAAGTTAACTGTTTACTTCCTTCACACAATCAGCAGGGAACACTTAAGAATCTCGGTTAGAAAAGAATCTCCTAAATCATCGCCCATATTGGGAATCAAACTTGATTTGGAATCTTCATCTGGAAGTTCTGAACTGTTTATAACAATTATTGAAGACAAACAATCCAAGATATGTCTTCTCTACTTTTCTTCTCTAGAAGTTCAAGAAACGTGCAAGAGTTCTGTAGTTAATCTAGGGAATGTCATTTTTCAACAGAAGAATGTTACTTACAATTGCTTAAGAGTTTGTGTTGGAAACTTCTGGTGGAATAGTTAGTCCATGCCATCCTGAACATCTTTGTGACCTCCGACCTCACTGTCCTTGCTCCACTAGATAGCATCCTCTAGTAAACAAGAGAATCCATTTGTTATTATTATTATTAGAGTTTGTTTGTTTGTTTGTTTTGCTTGAAAAGCAAATTCTGCTATGACAGAGATCTACGGTGGGGACAAAGTCTGTTGAGGATTGAGTTTGTCTGACATTCACTGATAGCTTTAGATTTGCAGAATGTTTTATAGCAGGGGGATGTTTCTGAGTTACCTAAGTAGTAAATAGCTCAGATTTTCTAGAAGGCACAAAGTATAAAATAGTCCATTTTATTTTCTAGGTTTACAAAATTTGAGGTTAATGTGAGTGAGAGACAGTTAAAATGGAAGGCATCTTCCCATAACTGGACCACACGACATGTTACAATAGAAATCCAGAGCCAGAAGATGCTAGTAGTCCAAAACAAACACTGTTAATCTTCACATCAGGTAGAGATGAAGAGTGCAAAGTTGGGAGAAGACCTGAAATAGTTCTACTTTTGCAAGTGACTGTTATTTTAAAAATATTTCCTCTTTGACAGTAATGAACCAAATCCATTTTTGTCCTGTACGTCAAAACCTTAATTAAATGATTAACCAAAGTGGATTTTGACAGATGAACTCCCAGAAATGCTGCTAGTGAAAGACATTACTGTTAAAAACAGATTCACTTCTTCCCCATTTCTACGAAGGGAGGGACTGACAGGACCAGGGACTGGCAAAAGTTAATAACTGTGGGTCTCCTGTGGGTAGCTGTAACCACCTCCACTGGAAAGGGCAGGGTGTGTTGCAGGCTTGGAGGCCTTTTAGACTGCATGGTGCTGTATATTTTGGAAGTGCCTCTTTTTGCCTCTCTTTCATGTTGTAATGAACTCAGCTAAAGGGCAGCTGCTTTCTAGTGTCTCCTTCTCTTGCCTCCTCCTGTCCCCAGCTTGGCCTGAGAAATTAGAGAGGGGCTTTGGTGGAGTGAAAGGGGGCAGAAGGAAAGAAGGAAAAAAGTTAATAATTCTACACAGACAGTCTATTGGAGATGTGAAGTAAAGAAAGTGATCTCAGCTGGGCTTCCCCTCAGTGTGTCATGCTTTTCAGCTCCTTTCAAGCAAACTTCTCCCCCCTGTCCCCATCCTGCCATTCTTTAGTCCCCAAGTCTCTCTCTTTCTCTCTCTCTTTCTCTTTTTTTTTCTCCCTCCACCTCTCCACACATTTCTATCTTTTGTTTTTATTTCCCCCCTGCTGGTTTCCTTGATAGAAATCTCACTCATGCATTTCCCTTCCGGATTTCTATGGGGTTATTTTGTCCTCTCTCTCTCTGCGCCTTGGTCTCCTTTTCTTTCTTTGCCTCTTGTCCTGGAGTAAAACAGTCGCCTCCCTGCTGGGTCAGGATGACAGTGCCGTTAGCTTTCCCAGTGCCAGCCCTTCCCACATATGTGCAGCTTTTGTCCCAGGGCAGAGGGGGATTTGGAATGGTCGGTTGGCAGCGCCAGGGAGACTGATGTAAAAATGAGGTCCAAAACAGAGGGGAAAGGGAATTAGGAGGAGAGCGTGATTTGGTTTAAGAGAAGCACAAGCAAAATAAATAAGAAATAAAGGAAACAACTCAGATTGAATGTGATTTGCGACCGTATAGTTTTAGAGATACGTCAAAGAGAATAAAATGAATGAATTCTGGCACCATGTCATGCTGTAAATTGATTAACTGCAATATCTGGCCTTAAGACTGACTGGGATGGAGTCAGGTTGCTCCCATTGGACGTTTTGTTTGGAATAGTTTGCTGGAGAATTCCCATGTGCACTGATAGGATGTACCTGGCACCTGTTTAGGTTTGTACTCATAGAATGCTCACTCAATCCTCAAGACTTGGCTCCCCTCCTGACCAGTTTTCCTTTGTCCTTGGTTTTCTTTCTCACCAAACGTACTCTGTTCCAGCTCTTCTGTCCACTCAGATCGCATTCTTCTAATTTCTCTCTCTCTTTTTTTCTGTTCATACCAGATAAGAATGTGCTCAATGCAGCCAGTTCAGATACACTGCTGCACCATCACATCACAACCTTCATTGTCCCATCTATTAGCAGAAACATACTATTACTGAGTTAACACTGCAAGTCATTCCTTGTACTTTTCCCTGGGAGGTAGTATTGCAGCAAGCCATGGGAAATGCTTATGAAACCTTTATTTTTGAAATAACATGATTTTCTTTAGTCCTGAGAGATATTATTCATCTAGTTGTTTTTATTCATCTAGTTGTTAGTTGTTTGGTTTGGTCTGTTTTTGTTGTTTATTTTTTATTCTTAGATTCTTAGCTATTATTTTTCTCAACAAAGGAACTCTACTTAGACTCCTGTATCCTTCTGTGCTTATAGGAATTAGTAGGTTGAGATTATGCTTCTTTTGGATAGGGAGCTGTAAACCCACAACAGCTAAGTGAAACCGCTGTGTGGTGTAGCATGAGAATTAGGAGAATGGCTTATGACTTGGAGAACTGCTGCAGTAGGTATACAATGCTCTGTGCACTGGGTTCTAAGCATGCTACCTTTTTGACCACCTCTTTCTCATGATGGTAGAAGATGAAGGGAAGGAGCTATCTGCAGTTCCAGGAGCCATGGCAACCAGCTCTCCCAAACATACTATATACATGTCATAAAAGGAGCGAGGGAGAGATGGATTGCTCTGATTCACTTCAGCATACACTCAGTGAAAGAAGTGAAGAGAGGTTGTGGGTAGGCCTTTGTAAGTAAATAGTGTGAAATTCCTCAGTTTCAGGTGAGATTTGCCATGAGCTCTCGAGGACTCTTGAATTTGAAAGTCAAAGTGTGATGAAGAGAAATATTCATGCACAGGAAGCAAAATTCCTGTAAAGTTTCACTATTCCCTTTGGTAAATGCCCCATACCATCTGGCACTATGCTCCAGAGGAGTGGAGAGGAGAATAATAAGGCAGACTGGAAAAGTTCTTCTCATTCCAAATGTTATCCAAATTCTAGCTTTTTCCTGTCACTGTAATTCAGCAATGGAATTTACCGCTGTAGACATCTGCCTGTAGTGAATATCAAGAACAAAAGCACATCAACAAGATGAATTTTTTTGTCTCACTTAACAAAAAACTTTTCTATTTTGCTTAACTTTACTTTCCTGATCATTGCTGACCAGTAGAGTACAGGATTTGCATATCAATATAAGGACTGCTGGGAATATTCCACCCTGATCTACATTCTGTATAGTGCTGTTAAATAGAGTAGCAAAGGGATGTCATTCAGGACAGAATTTGGCTAATTTCAACTTCCTAATGACATTTTCCCTCTAGTACGAACAATAGATTTTAACTTGCAATATATCAGGGTTTTCATTATATCAGCGTTTCCAATGTGCTGTGCTTATGTGAACCACTTAATTGAGCAAGGTGAAGAGTGAGAAAATAAATGCCATGAATATTCATTCCCAGTATAATTTAGAAGCTGCTATTCCCTGGCACTGAGACTCCAGCAGTGACTGCGCGTTCAGAATTTTGCTAGTGCAAGGGTTTGTGCAAGCAAATGTTACCTTGAAGTTTGGTGTATCTGTGCTAACTGAGCTTTTTGTTGATTCATTTTACGTATTGCATATGTACATTTGCATATGCAAACAATGCTCTATAGCATATTTGACTGTCTTTTGCAGGTCCGTCTGAATTACTGGACATGACAGACAGTGAAACGTAAGTACAGTCTACCCTGTCTGCTTTTCATAGTATTTGTATTATGTTAGCCAGCTTCACTTGTTTTTCTAAATGGCCTATCTCTTCGAAAATAAACAAACAGAAATGCCTTCAAATCTGAAAACAACAGACAAACACATAGCTTTCAGGCCTAGAACAAAAGTTTCTTGAATACCAGAAAGGATTTCCTCTCTATTGCTTCCCATTTCTCATAAGTCTTTCTAGAGAGATTCAAGTCCTGCATTGAGCTTTCATGTTTCCAGAATCTAGTCAGTGAGGATCAACATGAAGGCTTGATTTCAAAAGTCAGGACAAGAGCTTTCTTATTCAGTGCTGGATGCTCTGTCTTGGTTGTTCTAAATGGACACGACTTGTGCCATCAAAGATTTCTCTCAAGTAATTAGAAACTCAATCAGCTCTATTATTATTAAAAAAAAGACTTGACTTTACAAATCTCCGTATAATCAGGGTATCACAATAATGTATATAAGTTGCTGTGAAAGTAAAGCTTCCTTTTTATTTCCATGGAAAATACAGCACATGCAAAGAACATAAGAACACTATTGATAAAACAAATTCCCAGCTACAAAACACTATTTTTTCAACATAGGTGCCACCTTTAGCTGTGCATTTTCATCAGCAATGAACAAGAACCTGCAAGCTGCACACATGGCACTCTGCATGGCCATTTAGAATGTAGTATGTCTTTCTTATTGCTGTTGTCAAACACCACCCACCATTTCACTGTTCTTACTTCCACTGATTGTTCTCCATAAATGTTCAACAAGTGTCAATGAATGTCAGTGGGTGCTATTTTTTTTCCGCATGGAGGAATTCAGTGACACACCTTTGCTTTGTATGCACTTCCATGTCAGATGCCATTTTGTCAGAATTCCCCTCTGCTGCCATCCGTCTCATGGCAACAGAATGTAACAAGATATTGGTAGGAAGGTGCATGCTTTACTGCCATACTGCTATCTGTCTTTGATGCTGTGGGCCAAAAAGAAATAAAAAGAGGTATTACTTTTGGACCAGTCCTCGTATAAGTGATCCATAAATAACTCTGGGAAGCATACAGAATATATGAGAAATGAAACAGCCTTTTGCATAGGGTATCATTAATCCTATCATTACCCATCTCACAACATCCTCTTCTTTACTGACATTCTCTGTTAGAGAATGGGTACTTATGGGCATGGGGTACTTATGGGCAGTCCAGCGGTGGTGAAGTCCATAAGGACTACCTCTTTCTCCTTGTACAGTGGCATTGTGGAGACTCTGAAATAAAAGTGCAAGTGAATATAGCTATGAGGGCCTCCCTTTACAAATGTTCCCCTATCACTACCTCTTGAAAATGAAAAGTTCAAGCTGTGACTGCTAGCATGAATTTTTCTTTTGATTCTCAGAGTGAAATCAGGTATCATCCCCTCCTGAATCTAGCTCTCATACATTAGAGACAGATTACAAAGTTGTCTGTTAATATTTAACTTGCCCTGTAATTGGCTGAGACTGAAATTCCTTTCTGTGAATGTATGCTCTACTGCATCTGTCTTATTACAGGTAATTCTTATCATTTTTCATCTTGGAGTGCGTGTAATTGCCCTACTTGTTTGACAGTAGTACTACAGACACCTCTTCAAGCTGATCAAACTACTTTCCTCCTATTTCTAGTCAAAGCTGACTTGGCTTCTTTAACCTCATTAGTACAGTCATTCTCAGAATCCTGCTACAAGTAGACCCACCCTGAATTAAGAACTTTGCAATAAACCTGCACCTACTATACAGCTTTCTGTTCTGAAAAGCATGTGTTCAAGCTTCCTCAGTAGCTTGCTAGTCCAAAAGTACAAAACAAAAACACGGATCTCCTCTCATGTATCCACTATGGTCAGGTATCAGAACCAGGGCAGCATGTGTATCAATCATGGCTTTGATGGGCATGATTATTCTATCACGCCTCCAAGAACGAGATTCAGGTGAGAAAAAGCAGAAAGAAAAAAATATTGTTCCAGCTTAGCCTGCTGTGAGATAAGGTGTTCGCTTTGTCTCTGCAGCAGTTAGCAGAACTGCGGGTTGAATGGGACTGTGACATTTTTGTATTTCTGAATACAATATTTCTGAATACAAAAATGTTGTGCCTGTTTCTTTCCCACTTCTCAGTTCTCCAACTGCTATTTGTGCACTGATGGCTTTCTTACTGAGTCAAAGGATGTAGGTGCTAAGGAGGAGAGTGCACAAGTCCACTTCTGCTAGGAAGAAGCAACCTTGCAGAAATACATCATCCCTTTCTTTTCACTGAACCTTCTGTTTCATAAATGTTGATGAGTGTGATGTGTCTCACTACTGGTTTCTGTACTTTGGTCTAGGGGTGAGACAGCATTACATAAAGCGGCCTGCCAGCGCCATCGTGCCATCTGCCAGCTCCTGGTGGATGCAGGAGCCTCGCTGAGAAAGACGGACTCCAAGGTAACCCAGCTTAGTCAACGAGTTATAAAGCACTGCAGCCAAGCGAGACTGATCAGCATCCGTCCCCGCTGAGTGCATGATTGAGGCTTCCCTGTGTGTGCCAGGAACAGCTCTTTTTACATGTTTTTACTTAGAAAACTGTATTGATTCAAACAAGTACAAGGGACTTTAGTTCAGTCCCCAGTGTGGGTCATCTTCACTATAGTGAGAGCTTGGCCTCAAACTATTCAGTATGTTGGGTGTGAATGAAGCATCTCCGTGGAACAGCAGCATCCTTCTCTTGTGTGGTCAAAAGAGAGGTTTGTGGGCAGGGACCACCTGGGGGAGCCTTGGTTTTTGATTGCACAGTGTCTATGAGGCTTGATTGTTGTAGCTGACTTGCTTTCTGAGGGTGGCTAACCATCTTTTTTTGTCCTCACTTGCCCCTGTGTTCATTGGTGTGACACTAACCACAACTGTTTTTCCATGTAAGCTTGGAGAAAGAAGATGTATGGGAAAAATTAAAACCTAGGAATATTCTGGAAAAAAAAAAAAAAAAAAACCACAAACAAAAAACAACAAAACAATCTAATTGCTTGGGAACATTGTACAGAATCAGTCCCACTAGCATTTCTGAATATAAGCAACCTGTATCAGTATTTGAGAGACGCTCAGATCAATGGGTTCCAGAGTTGGAAATAGCTTTGTGCAGCAAGACAATAACAATTCCTGTCATGTTAAACTGTAGGGAGTAGTCTATAAGCTGGAGAGAGATCATATCTTTTTCAGATCTCTTTTTTCAGATTAGACTCTTTTCCGGTACTATATATTGTAAAAGATAATTTCTGCAACAGCTGGAATCCAGATAAGTGGCTCCTGAGTTGTTAATCTTCATCTATCCAGAAATCCAGAGAGCAAGAGTTGTTTTGTGGAGATTCTACTGCACTCACATAGGCACTGCAGCCTAAGAATGAAAATTCAGTTCCTTCCAGTATGTGAGTCCTTCTGAGTAATATATCAAAAAACATGTCCTTGCAGGGTTCAATAATTTGTCTTAAACTGCACAAGGACCTTAAAATTCCTTAGAACCTCATGAGTCTCCTAGAAACACTTGACTTGATATCAACTTTATTTTTTGTACAAATAAGTAAATTCTCCAAATGTACTTCTGTCCTTCCTGTAGTAATTCTTCTGGGTCATGCTTTCATGTGGTCTTCTAAATATGTTAGCACAAAATTTTTCTTCCTGTTTATTTATTATAGGGTAAGACTCCTCGTGACAGGGCTCAGCAAGCTGGTGATCCAGATCTGGCCTCCTATCTGGAAAGTCGACAGAATTACCAAATGGTTCCCCATGAGGATTTGGAAACAGCAGTCTGATGTCTGAAAACAGAGAAGAGGATCTTCAGAAATAGCAAGGCTGCACCTGAGCACTTGGGCATCGTGTGAGGAAGAAGCTGATGGAATCAACATGTCTCTCGCTCTCGTGGAAAATATCAGAGGACATGCCACCAGTTTCTAAGGGCTACAGAGTCTTGCCACGGAACAGTTAGGTTCCATAAGTTAGCCCATGATGGATGAGGTGGGACACTCAAAGGTCTGTGGAATCCATGGGCCATGGAAATTTACCTTAATTGCTTCCAGCAAGTAGCATGAACTTCTCCCATGTTCATCTGTACAATTTATTAAAAAAAAAAAGAAAAAGAAAAAGAAAAATAAAGAGAGAAGTGAGTGTGGGGGAACCAAACTAACTGGGACATTATAACACCTAACCAGGCCCTCCACCATCCCTACATTTTCTTGCATACCCTTAATTCTCCCATTCCTTTCACTTGTCATCTGGTAAATAGTATCTGTTATCTCTGTGTTTTCACAAATGGTCATGCAGTAGCAAAAAAAATTGAGGAGCTCTGGAATGCCCTTAGGAAGAAAACGTTTTTACCTGCTGTGTTCCCTCCTTTGCTATCCCTTTGGAAGCTGCTTCCTCAGTGTTCTGTCACTGGAGAGTTTTCTCACTTTTGGAGAGGATTCTGCCTATTGCCTTGTTTTCTAGGGTTTGGGTCAGTTTACAACAGTAACAAAAACTAACCTCCTCATTGTTGCTGCATATATGCTTATGGTATCCTGATGAGACAGTCATTTGAATAGAAAGGTTATCCAGTATAGCCACATTGTATGACAGAGCAGAAAGCTACCCCTAAGGTTTCTTGCACCACCGTTGTACTTATAATGACCGACCAGTTTCTGTCAGCATTCAGGCCTGACTAAAAACTAATAGCTATTTTTTTTTCTCACTTCTGGAAAGATGGGTTTTATGACAAGGAAAAGAAACCTAGGAGGTCATCAGTCAGCCATGAATAAATGAACAAGCACTGCATATATTGGGAACAGGAAAATTTCTTCTGGCTGAACTTGTAAACTACCTGATTCCCCAAGGGGAATGGAAGAAAGTTTTAAAGAGAGGCTCTCCCCAAGAAAAAGGACAAACATCAGCTCTTTGCCTCATTACTCACTATAGGCTTGGAAATTTAAACTTGCTTAGCTGCTGTAAAGGCCTGCCATGGCTACTGTACTCATCTGTTCTCTGTCTTACCTCAAAGATTATAACTACAAAAGAAGAAAAATCAGACACACAGCAAATTTTCACCTTCAGGTTTTCTATCATTAAAGACAATTCAGCTACCAGAAATAGCAGAGCTTCCACTTTGCCCAGTTCTTATGAAGACACTCATGGCCCACTTTTGGCATAATTCTTGCAATAGATTTTTGAATTTTGCTTTGCTGTTTGTTTGACAGATCATGTAGTGGTTGGTTTCAAACGCATTTCTAGGGATAGGTCTTTGGTAGATGTTGATCATCAAGATCACATGCAGTTTGGAAACCATGGAAAAAACTCAGGTCATTGTTCAGATAAGTTTTACTTCCTCAGTAGAAGTTGTGGAAATTAAATGAATGAAAATCCTTTCTTTATTCTTTTTAAGTTTATCTTTTCCCTCCCTCCCTTCCTCCTTTCCTCCCTCTTTTTCTCCCCCCTTCCTTCCCTCCTTCCTTCCCACCTTCCCTCCTTCCTTCCTTCCTTCTCTCCTTCCTTCCTTTTCCTTCTTTATTGAGTGATTCTTGTTGCAGAAAAAGAAAAGCTATATATATATATATTATTTTATTTTTTCTGTTTTCAAAAGTTTATTTGATATGAGCAAAATATTTCTTTAGTATTTCTTCCTCTGGAAGGAAACTATATATATTTGTAATCTATTGATCAATGGCGACATGAAATGTATTTTGTCTTTTTTTTTCTATCTTTACTTCTCTTGTTTGAGAAATAAAATATGAAACCCAAATTTCTTCCCTTGATAATAACGCAGGGGCTTATGGTGAAGGTGTATATATTGGAACCGAATTTGGCAATGGTTAAAATAAATATATAATTATATAATTTTGGTGTATGTGAAACTTCCATAAGGAAGACCCTCACCCTCACAGTATGGTTTCATGGTAGGCATTGCATCGTTTTCTAACTGTGAGAAAAGACTATACTGTAATATTTCTATATATTTGACTTAAAATATGAATGATGCTAGTATCAGTTGTATCTTTTTGCTGTTTTACTGATGTGAGAAACAGAGGGAGCTTCAGTGATAACCAGGGCCTGGATTTTGTCCTGTGCTGAGGTCAGACTGAGGCCTGAGTACAGGATGCTCAGTGAGCACTTTACAGCTCCCTCATCCTTAAGTCACAAGAAGGTGGAACAATAAAGATTTGCTCTGATCACAGGTAGCCTCCAGAAGCCACGTGTGAATTATTATACAGACCTGGGCCTGGTCCCTCTTCATCTCCTGTAGTGCTCCCCTTGGTGCACTTGGATATGTCTCTTGAGCTCAGGGGTTGTGCGCTGTTCACAGAAGGGGCTGGCTCTGGAGTAGACAGATTTCCTGAGCTCCTTTCTGCCATTTGGACTGCTCAAAATAGCTGGAGCACACACGAGAGAGAGCCTGGCCTGCTTTTTTCCCTAGCAGCAGGAGTGTGATGCTATGATCAGAGCGAGACAGTTGTGCCTCTAGAAAACTTACTGCTCTGTGTACATGGTAGGAGGCAGTTACTGTGTGATGGAAATAAACCCCAGTGTGGAATTAGGACAGGAGCTGGCTGGATGTAGTGCCTTTTAACATTCAAGGTGTCCAAAGCACTGCACAAATAATGCATTAGATACTGGTGATGTATTGTATGTAGATAACAGAGCATGTGTATTATTTTTTGTGATGGCTAGGGATATCAGAGCTTGGTTCACTGAGGGATGAAGTTTTGGGTGAGCATACAGCAGGATTATTTCCTATTTCTTCCTCCATGCTGTGAGATTCCCAGTTTTGGACAACCACTAGAAGCAGGCAGACCTCAGCCATTAATGGTAGCACACACATATTGAATCTATTGAGTACTTAGGATCTAGCTTAGTACAATATCATTTGTTCCTGCACTATGTAGAGCCTGCTGGAAGCCCACTTAGATTACACATGAAACATTTTGATTTACTAGAAGTGTCTATTCTGTGGGTGTTTCTATATATGTGTGTATATTGCTATATATATGTATATTTATAAATATTAGTATGCATATATATAGACTCATGCACACTTTTAGGGCTGTGCCATTTGAATAACGAGGTAACTAGGGATGCTCAGATGCTGAGGTTGATGGACTGGCAAAATGTCATTTTCCATTTAAATTTGTTATTAAGGGGGACCCTTTTCAGTAGAACTGAAGAGCTCCTGAATTGTTCCATTGTACCAGTTTGCTATCTCATTCTTGAGTTAAATGGAGGGAAATGAAATATTTATAACATTGATAAAATAAAGTTACTTTTATTATTTAATAGCATCAGTTACTTTTATTGTTTCATGCTTCAATGCTAGAGATATCATTCTGTGTTTTCCAAGAAATGATGATGTCATATTTTTCTCTCTAATTATAGCACTCTTCAGTATTGTGAGGTGTAAGGCTGAATGACTCATGCAAGACAGGAGGAGTGCAAGGCAAATTTTGCATTAGCTCACAGAATTGGCCTCAGACTCCAGTGACTCTTTCACTATTGCACATGAAGGCTTCACTCTGGTTTTACATTTTCAGATATCTGTAGGTGTTTTTAATGACAACTATCACTTTAATTTTCCCCAGCAGTATCAGCTTGTACTGTAGCCTGGATTCTGCTACATAAGGACTGTCTTCTAGAAGTACCATAGATATAAAGAAAATAGAACAAAATTTATATTCTGTTGCCATTGATCTTCCCAGTTGTATTTGCAGACCTGACGCTTTGTGGATGAATAGTTGTGTTTTATTTTTTCTGGTATGGCAGTGGAATACTCTCTAAGCAGTACTTAACGTCCTCTTTTGCTCATTTTTGCCTTTTTTTTTTTCTTTTTCTTTTTCTTTCTATTTTTTTTTTTTTTTTGCTGTGACAGTAGCGTGCCTGAAAATCACTAGCACACAACCTCACGGTTGGAAGATGACTGTTTTCCTTTCAAGCTGTACTAGATGCCTGCTGTGGCGTGCAATTATGTGCTGGCCCTTTCAGTTTGTCAAAAACATGTTGAGAAGATCTGATTCTTGGTAAAAGCTATGAAATGGACAAGGTGCATTGGTAATCTAAAGTTTGCTGGCATTTAATGATACACAAGGAATATGTTAATATGCTGGAAGTATGGCTACTTTGAAAACACTCCAAGGACAATTATATCTTTCCTCTTCATATATTCCAAGAAGGAAGCAGTTCCTTATGCTGAGCCATCTGAGGTGTGTCATTTTCTTTCCTCCATTCTTTGCATCTTTCGCATCAGACTGATATCCATGGAGGAGTACTTTGCAAGAATGGTATTTAAGCTTCTGTATAAGAACTCTTCCACTATACTGAAATTAACATTTCTTTCTCCACTGTATCTGTTCTTTTCCATTCATCCAACATTATTTTCTCTCTTTATTTTCCTTTTGAAATCTGAGCCAAAACGACATTGGTTGTTTGTTTCCTAATTAATCTAAAGCCTAAAGTGTGAGTATCTTTAGTTATTTCAGTGATCCTCTTAGCAGCTTATCATATAAGTGTGCCTTTCTGGATACCTGTCTGGCTACAGGATATAGTATTACAGGGTTCACTGTGGCGGTTCTCATCTTTTCATTTTGCTTTCTTAGCAACAGAGCAGGCAACTATTTTTCTTAGTAATGGATAGCTACAGCTTTAAAATCCCAAGAGCTGCCTGCCAAGATCAGTTGATTGCAATGGAGACTCAGTAATGTGCCAAAAGTGACTTGCCAGCATATTGATGAAGACCAGAATTTTATGCAGAGGATGTGTCTCAAGAGTCAGTGCTTTAACTCCCTTTGGAAGGGCAACTCATGACTGCACTGTGAAAATGCTTCAAGAGTAGTTATAACTCAGCCCTACACCCAGATCCTGGGGCAAACAGAATACTTAGAGGGGCCAGGATGGTTCAGCGTTTGCTGAGGAGTTACCGGCCCCAATAGGCTGCGGGAGCTTGGCATAGGCTGCCCCAAAGTAGGCTAAGTACCTGGATTCTCACTTCTCTACCCAGCAGTCAAAGGAAGGACTGTGGTTAAGTGTACTCCAAGTTGTGCAGTGGCACCATGCTTCTCCTGACTGCTTTACCCAATGTCCTCTGTCAGTACCAGAGCTCAGGGGCCTCTCTCTCTCTCTAGCGAATTTCCAGCACCCCTGCCCATGACTGTACCCACAGAGAGCAGTGTTCTCTTGTCCCCTCTACACGTGCACTGCAGCAATGGCCCCGACCTTGGCCAAGGGATTTCCTGGCCTGTGTATGGTGCTGCTACTGCAATGGGGGAGAATTCCTCCCTCAGGCCTTGATCATGCAAGTAAATTCATTACATTTGACTTCAGTGATTAGGCAGGCTTAGAGCTGAATAACCTTACTGTATTCAGCCATCAGAGTGCATCTTGTCTCCTGCCTTATTTATAGGGTGCCACATTCCAGTCTCAGCTGCAGTTTCTTGTTTCTCAGGTTTTTTTTTTTTTTTTTAAAGACAATCTATCCTATACAGTACACATGTATTCAGTTATACTGAGTGGGAAAGACAAGCCTCTCATTTTAAAAACTCCTCATTCTGATGTAACACACAACTACTAAGAAATCTAAGCAGGGGGATGCTTTGTAACAACAGCAATTGTTTCAACATAAACATGTATATAATTCTGGAAATAATTTTATGCTTAGCCCTTTAAAAACAGTCTAGCTTATGCTTTTGTTTCCCTTTTGTGGAGGAGATTTTGGGATCCTAAACCAGCAGTGATTCTACTGAAATATACATACAAGAAGGTGAATAACCAAGAGAACAGATGAGAGGTTTTCTTCAGTAATTTGCTTTATGCTAATTTGCCCTCATCTACTAGAAACAGAACGCTGATAAGGGAATGATATTTCAGAGTTCCCCAATGTGCTTTGACGTGCAAGAAATACACACCATTTGTTTTAGCAGTATCGTACTACATATGTAATTGCTTCATCTAAAGCCAGCCTCTTTTTGCTAGCAAAGTATAACACCTGGCTCTTCAATTAGTCCCTGTCTAGGAGTATGCTTGACGTGTAACCTACCACTCAGCAAAGTGTGCGTGGTTGCAATCCGGCATTCCATCATGACAAGTGCTGCAGCAATTAGCTAAGTACTAATGCATGAACCACACAGCAATTCATTACTTAGCCTTACCCTTTATTTTAATGAGGGAAATGGCCTTCTGGTTCCAACTGTCTTAATGACCTTCAATTATCAGTTTTTTTCCTCAGCATGTGGCAGAGGAAGAGTGCAGTTCTTGCTCTTATAAGTATTCAGAAATACAAGTCTTGTCTAGGAATGGTAGGAATCAGTTAGGTTTGTAGATATGGAGAAGAAACTCAGGAAGCTCTTGAGCTTGATTCAACAGACATGAACAATTTCAACTTGGCTAATTGGGCTCTAATGGATAGTTCCCCTTATGTAGGATTGTAAT